CCCAGAGCTGGGGTTAGCAGCTGGTGCCAGCCCAAGGCCCTGGCGGACAGCAGTCTTTCCCAAGAGCTCTTTGAACACACAGTCCATGTTCTGTGCCACAGCCTGCAAGGACAGGCGGGTGCCCAGTGAGTGGGGCTGCCCACTGCCCCGCCCCAGCCTCCACTCGAGCTCCTCACACTGCAAACCCATCCTCAGCCACCTGACATTGGGCCCCTCCTTCGCACAGGCCATACGGCGCCTGGCCTAGGCCCTCAGCCTCCAGGCCATCTCTCCCTCGTGTCTCTGTCACAGCCTCCCATAGGGACAGCAATTCCTTGGCCATGGCCTGAGGGGCCACCAGCATGTGGGTGACTCCGGGTTGCCGTCCTTCCTGGGCTCCCAGCTGGCCAGTCACAGCCCTCCACCCTGCCTGCCTTACCCCCAGGGCTCCTCCTTCAGCCTGTCAGTCGGGCCGTCACACAGAACAGGGATGAAGTCTCTCCAGGCCATGCTCCTGGCTCCTGTGCTCTGAGAGTCTGTGCCCCAGCAAGAGCTGCTGCCCGCCCCGCTCCCAGCCAGCCACCCTGCCTCCCTGCCATCTGGCCCTGTCATCCGCGGTGTGCCAAGCACCTGCCACGTCCTCGCCTGTCACCTAGCCTGGTTCCAGATGCCACCCTTGAAGTCTGCCCAGGAGCCCCTCACGCAGCCTGGACTTGACCCCGGCACTTCCCTGCCTAAGAACCAAACATGAAACCCAATTCCTGAGCCCCAAGCCGCCTCGGTGGAGGGTCTGTCAGCCCGGCCTTGCTCTCCCACTCTTGCCCTCTTGCCCCTCCCCAGGCTCTGCCTGGGCTGGCTGGAGGTCAGAGAGGGCAGATTCAAACCTTGGGGAAGGAAGAGTTTGGCTCCTAAGGGCAGCAGAGAGCCCCCAGGAGAAACGTCGCCCACTTGCCACATAGCCAGTCCCGCTCTCACCTTATCCACCTCCGTGGGCCGCTCCGGGGACATGGGGTCCCAGCATTGTCGTCTGTGCCCAGAGGGGCCCATAGCCTCAGGGGCAGCGTGTGGCTCTGGCCTACAGAGCACAGGTGTGACCAAGGGCAGAGGCCCCCATGGAAAGCCTGACCCCAGCCCCCTCTGGCCTGGAACAGCATGCATGGTGGGCAATGGGGCCTCAGAAGGGTCTTCCCTCAGGTCCATCTCTCCTTGCTTACCGGTTGACAAACTCTGCAGCCAGGGCACCCTCGGGGCCACTCAGCAGCTCCTCTGCAGCCTTCAGGCCTGGGCTGGCGGCCTGCTTCTCCACTCTGTGGTGGGAGAGACTGTCTGGGGCACTGCTTCCCAGTCAGGGGACCTGGGGCCAGCAACCTTGTGAAATGCTCACTGTGTGGCCAAGCTGGTGGCTACTGCTCACAAGAGGCAGGTCCCACATGGCCGACCTCGTGGTTTGGATCCTGCCCCGGCTTGAAAAGCACACCAGGGGCATGTGCGTGCGTGCCCAGAATCCCAACAGGATAGAGAGATAAGGAGGTGATTGTGGCATGGCCACTCCCTCTCCCTGTCTCTCTGGTGAGCTCACCAGCTTGGCCACACAGTTAAAAGAGAGAGAAACGCTCGCTCTCGGGCCCAGACCAACGGCATCTGAGTGGGAGGGGAGCAGTGACCTGGGTCTGCACAAGTGCCTTGGGGTGACAGAGCAGGTGAAGGGGTGGGTGGGGGCTGAGCATCAAGGCCCAGCGGGCGCTGAACGGACACAGCAGGGGGGCTCACCCTGCCAGCAGAGAGATGTACTTGTGGGGGATGAGTCCCCGCGCCCCAGCATGCTCTCCACGCCACCAGTCGCTGGAGGCTCTCTCGTGCAGCTGCAGCACGGCTCCGCGCGGGAACGTCAGCTCCTCTCCTGGTCTGTGCGGCCCGTGTAGGCGAAGCAGGCCACGGCCTCCACGACTCCCTCCAGGTCTGGGGAGAAGAGAAGGTTTGAGTGGGGAGGGTGCGGGTTGGGGGACAGAGCAGGCAGCAGGCAGGGACAGAGGTGGGGCTCCTGCCCGCCTCCTCACCTTCCTCCCAGGCAGGGGCTTCCAGCTCAGACTCATTCTCCACTGCCAGGCTCTCCAGTTGGGTGTCCCTGAGGTTCAGAGCAGAGGGAGGTAGGTGAGGGGCGTTCCCCAGTGGCACCACCCCAACCCCACGAAGCACCAAGAGTGTACCCCAGACAGCTGGCAGAAGGCGGTGCCATGCACTTCTCATAGGCAGGGCCGGGGAGCAGGGCCTGGGACGGGAATACGCGTGCCGGCTGCATGATGAGAGTCTGCACCAGCTGGTTCACTCGGCCCTGCAGGGCCACCGGGTCCTGCCCCACGGGCACAGGCAGCAGTGTCGGCCCGAAGCACACAGCCAGGTTGTAGGTGTCCATCATGTTCCCGAAGGCGGTGCCATGCACTTCTCATAGGCAGGGCCGGGGAGCAGGGCCTGGGACGGGAATACGCGTGCCGGCTGCATGATGAGAGTCTGCACCAGCTGGTTCACTCGGCCCTGCAGGGCCACCGGGTCCTGCCCCACGGGCACAGGCAGCAGTGTCGGCCCGAAGCACACAGCCAGGTTGTAGGTGTCCATCATGTTCCCATCACTGTACTGGGCCAGGCTGGGGGACGAGCAGGTCACAGGCAGCCCGAGCCACCACCCCCACCCTCTGCAGGCCCAGAGCACTCACTAGTTGAGGAAGGTGAAAAGGTAGCGAAGGACCACCAGCACTGGGCCAGACAGCCGGGCCAGCAGGCGGCTCACGTGCTCCACCCGCTCTGCTGCAGCCTCCAGGTCTGGGGAAGGCCGCCCCCCAGGGAGCCATGTGAGACCTGGGCCTTCACTGCGGGCGCCCCCCACTGGTTGGTCTCAGGGCCCGGGCTCACCTGCAGATGCCAGTAGCTCGCCAAACAGGTCCGGGGGGAAGAGTGGGGGCTCGAGGCTGCGGAAGTAGAGCTTCAGGCCCCCCAGCCACGGAGTCCAGGTCGTGGACACTGCAACCTTCCACCAGCGGGTCCTCCCCTGCAGCGGGCAACGCAGTGAGGGTGAGAGGCTGGCCGTGCCGCTCCAGCCCCCCACCCTGCCTGTTCGTACCTCTCTCAAAGGCATCGCGGATCTCCGAAACCCGGAGCTGGGCACCTGACACCCGGAAGATGCCCTCGTGCTGCAGGCCTGCAGAAAGACAAGGAGCTGGTGGGCACGAGGTCCCGTGTCCCCCACATCCAGGGCAGGAGGGCCAGGCCTTGCTTACCGTTGAGGTTAATGAAGCGCACACAGCTCTCCACCACCAGGGGCACAGGCTGGCCCGAGCTCTGCGGACACACGGTGTTTCCTTCACTGGCACACTGAGTCACCCCTGGGTGCGATGTTCCTGACACTATTTTAGGGGATGCCCTACATTCTATTTTTGAACTGTTTGTTGCTTGAATATAAAACTGTAATCAAATTCTATACGTTTACCTTTTTTTCATCTTTTTAGAGAGATTTTTGCTATAGGGCACATGTGCTCGCGGGAGAGCCTAAGAGACAGAAAGCAAGAAATCACCCCCAGGGGGGATGGCCATGCCACAATCCCTTCTCCTCCATTCTCCTCTCGGGACCTTAGGCACACACGCACACGTGCCTGGCGTGAGTCTAAGGTGCCGGGTCTGGGATTTGAACCATGGTCAACTATGTGGGAGTCCAGTGATGCAACCATTATGCCATCTGCTGGTCCCCTATATGTTTACCTTGAATCAAGTGACTTGCCCAACTCAAAATGGTTCAGGTAGTTTGTTCGTTCTTCTGAATGTTCTACGTACATAATCATGTCATTGCAAAGGGACAGTGTCTAGAACTCCTAGGACCCCAGGACCAGGCTCCTCCCTACACTGCTGCTTGGTTTGGGAACATTCCCATTGTCAGTCTATGGGAGGAGGCCACGGGAACCCAGCAGACACCTGGGAAAGGCCTGTCTAGGAAGTGACAGCCGATCAGGGCGAGTGGGGGCCTAGGGCCAGCAGAGCAAGTACCTGGATGAACTTCTCCATGTCTCCCCCAAAGAGTCTCTGGTTATACTGGGAACTGGGGCGGGGTTGGCGGCTCTTCTGGAATTTTCTCTGTGTGTACTGGACCCTGTGGTGGAGGATAAGGTGTGGGCCAGCCAAGCAGGCTCTGAACTTCTGGGTATTCCAGCACCCACTGGGCAAAGTGGGAAACCGAGGCCACCAGGGAGACGCAGCAGAGTGAGCCCCAAAGACAGAGGAGACAGGACTCACCAAGACATTTCCTGCTCTTCCTTGTCGCCTGGGCAGGAGAAAACGTTGGTCTGCCGATTGGGGAGGCAGCAGCGGGGGCTCTCCCAAGTGTCCCGGAGAGAAAGGCTCAGGGCCCCGGAAGGGCCAAGGGTGGGAGACAAGCCCGCCCCCTGCTAGGCCACCTTCCACTTGCTGCCAGTCTCTCAAGGGGGAGAAGCGCAGGCCGGGGCGGGGGGCCCACCTCGCTGTATGGCCTCCTGCAGCTTCTCATGCTTGGCCTGCAGCTTGGCCAGAATGCTCCTTCCGCTCAGATACTCTTGCAGTTTCTGAGAAGCCACAAGAAGCACCCAGGGTTTTAGTCTAGGCTCCTACTGCCCTCTGCCCACCGCCCCTGCACACCTCTCCCTGCCAGTCCAGCCCCTCCCCACCGTCAAGTAGAAGGTCTCCGTCTCCTGCTGCTGGCCTGTCCTGCGGCCTGCCTGCCGGGAGCCTGGGTCCGAGCTCTCTGTGGAGGGGCTGGCCTGGACTGAGTCCAGCATGTCACCGTCATCTGATGCCACCACTTCCAGCAGGGCCTGCAGTGTCGCCTTCAGTGTCTTGTTCACCTGGGGAAGGGACAGTACCAGGGCACAGGGGACAAGATAGGGGACAGAAATCCACATCGGGAGGAAGGAAGCAGTCTCTAAAATTGTACATCCCTCTGACTTTGCCCAGATTTAATCAGGTACAGGAGTCCAAGATGGCACTAGAAAACCTACAACCCTGCTTATCAAAGCACCAAGAAAATAGGTGACTAACTGGTCAGAGAAACCTGTCCCACTGGGTGAGCACGGGGAGATTTCTTTAAAACTCTTACAGACAGAAACGGTGTTGTCCTCCTAGAAAGAGCCCAGACAAAGTGTAGAAACGGCAGAGTGGACGTTGATGAACATGGAGTGTTCCCTAACATTCTGAGCAATCTGGCTTTCTCAAAATTGTACTGGCTGAATACAAAGTTGGGGCTCTTACAGCTACTTAGAGTGAAAAGGAAAGGAATGGACATCTTGTCCAGGATGTCATTGACACAGTTCTTCTCCATGACATTATTCTGTCTACCACCTCCTCTTCTGTTCCCCTTAATAACTGGAGTTCAAGTGCATAAAAGCAACAGTCTAAGGACAGGGTGGGAAGAGGTAGCTTAAAGGGACTTATGGATTCACATAAGAGGATGTTCCCAAACATAGATGTGGATGACTCTTTAAAATTATGGTCCTTATAACTGAGCTTTCAACAGTACCATATCCGACACAGGCTGGACTTGCCAGATTTCCAGAGGTGGGCTTAGACAACTTGGCTATAGCTAAGGTTACAACTCCCTTACCTTCATTAGCTCAGCCTGGCCCATGACCACAATTTTTCCATGCCCATGAAAGCAGGGCTCACATATGTGAACCCCAGTAACAGAGAGCTGGTGAAAGGCTACATAAGAAAGAATCCAGAACCAAGTTCTAGCAATCCCAAGAATATACCGTATCCGTGTGTGTAGTTCCAGCACAAGCACACAGCACCCAGGACAGTTGGTGCTCCAAAATTTTTGACTTATTTGAATTGAGTTGAATCCTTATTAGAAAAACAACACAAAGTATAAGCCCTATTGATGTTGGGCCTAGAGAATTTTCTTCATAAATAAAAAATTGCACATTACTTTGAAATGACAGCAAAATGAAAAATGCAACGTATTTCTCTCTGTTTTTTTGGAACCCAGTTATTTTATCTAGCACAGAATTAGGCAGGAAAACATTCTGCCCAACTTTCTGTCGCACCAAGGCACTCTGAATTAAGGATCGCCGTTCATTGCCTGGGCCGACACAAAAAGCAAATGTTGGGGGTTTGGGGAACAGCATCGCTAATGATGGCAACTTTGTATTGAAATCATCCAAACAGGTTTCAACAACTTTCTGGATCTCTAAACCTTTGTTTGTACCCACGTAAGAAAGCTAAGGAAAAGGGTCTCATCTTCATCTGAGTGGAGAGCAGAGTGGACAGGGCAGGGTGGGAAAAGAGGAGAACCAGGTTTTTCTGGAAACCATGGTAACTAGACGTAGGAGTGATTGCGTGCTTCTAATGTCAACTACTATTTCAGTGTCCTTCTCATAAAAGGGTTAGTTCTCAGTCTGTGAACTGAGAAATTCAACTAGACTTTATCTTAGCTAAGGTAAGAAACAGGGGCACCTATTTCTGTAGCCAGTACTCTCCTTCCATCCCTAATGCTCAGAGCATTCAGAGGCAAGGATGACTATTACCTGGATTGTAGTTAGGTAGCTTGGAGACTCCAGGCCAGGTATCCTCTGTAGGGACTCCCAACACCTACAGAAAGCCAAAGAAAGACAAAGAAATATAAGAGGAGAAACCAGGTAAATGGAGCAGATATAGAGATATAAAAGACAGAAAAAGGAGGAATGGAAAGAATTAGATTTATGTCATATTATGGCAGTTGTTAGAAACATTAGTGTTTCCAACTTTGTAGTTTATTGGAAAAAAACTACTGTATTCCTATGATGCTGAGCCTATGTCTTCACTTCACTTGCAGATTGCAGAACCTTGCTGAAAGCCAGTCTCATGTCTAAATATTGATTGCATGGTCACCACACATTAGGATGCTATGTTGACAGTAGGGGTGTAAGGAAGCAGGAGTGACTATCCCTTTGCCTTCTCTTGGATTACCATATGTATATTGACAGAAGATGCTTGACAGTTTGAATTATGTCTCAGTGTGGGCATTCAGCTGTTCCCTAATGTGATCAAATTAAAAAGGATTCAGATTACTGACCTTTAGGCAGTGGAATGTTGGCTAAAAATGACCCCAAACTTACTCTGGTCTTTTATACCCAAGTCATCGCATCTGCTAGTTGTCTCTGTGACCAGCAGATTGAAATATGGTATTTGGTTCTTCACTGGTGGATTATAATGGTAACAGGGACAGTACCAGGGCACAGGGGACAAGATAGGGGACAGAAATCCACATCGGGAGGAAGGAAGCCACTACCAGCCAGGAGAGGCTCCAGTTATTGCCCCCCCTCTGGGCCTGGTCACCGGTACCTCTTCTGTCTCAATGGTCTGTCGGTCCAGGCGGCTCTGGATATTCTGGGCTCTGGGCAGAATCTCATCCCGCAGCTCCAGCTCAACCCGGATCTCAGTCACCTGCCGAAAGGCAGCACCGGGGTCTGAGGGCCTGGCCCAGAGCAGGAGGGCGCCAAGCTCCACTCTGCCGCCTGGTGGCCGGTTACAAGAGCACCAGCCCTGGGTGCTGAAGCACACTGACTGCTCTGCCAATGTCCAGGTGGAAACGGCCCAGGTGTCTGCCAACTCCTGCGCGGAAAAGCAACAGGCGGAGAGGCGTGCAGCCCTGCCGTGTGCTGACCTTGAAGGCAGGGCGCTGTGCACAGCGAAAGCAGCCAGATGGGCGGGTTGCAGGAACAGAAAGTACAAGAGTGGGTGCCGGGGTCCAGGAGGGGCGGCCAGTGCTGGCTGAGGGTCCCCTTTGGGGTGATGAAAATGTTCTGGCTTAGTTTAAAGCCAAGAATGGTAAGGCTGAAGGCTGTGACCGAAGATGCAGGGCCAGCCAGCCCTCTCTTAGAGAAGGGAGAGGTCGCAAAATGGCTCATCTGATGGGACACATGTCCCTGTGGCAAAAGAGGCTTGCCTCTTGGGCAGAGTCAGGGACGGGAGGAGCAAGTTTTAGAATTGTTCTCTGCAGGGGCCGGCAGGTGTGCCCTGAATCCCAGAGGAGAATGGAGAAGGGACTGCAGCATGGCCATCCTCCCTGAGGGGGGTGATTTCTCACTTTCCCTCTCTGTCTCTCCGGTCAGTGTACACGCCCTATGACAAAAACCTAAAAATATGGGAGGGCAGAGTTCAAGGTGCTTTGGAGATGGATGGTGGTAGTGAATGCAGCACAGTGTGACTGTGTGAGCGCCTTTCTAAAGTGCAAAGAGAGATGGAATTAACGTAAGAATTTGTGTTTGTTTTTTTGCCTTAGGGCGCATGCACTCACCAGAGAGAGAGACAGAGACAGTGACAGAAAAAGTGAGAAATTATCCCCCTGGGGATAGCCATGCTGCAATCCTTTCTCCTCCATTCTCTTCTGGGGATCTTGAGCACGTACACACACGCATCCGGTGTGAGTTTTGAGCTACCGGGTCCAGGACTCAAACCACAGTTGGCCATGTGGGAGTTCACCAATGTAAGTGCTAAGCCATCTGATGGCCCCAGAATTAAAGCACGAGTTTATTTTTGGTGCAAAAAAGTGTAAAATCCATGGATATCTTTTTCCTAATACGCATTTTCCATGACTTTTGGAAGACTCTCAAAACACAGGCTCTGTGGAAACACACTGGCATCAGGGAGGCCCCGGAGAGAAGCAGCACATGAGGGGCAGGGTTCAGCGTGGGGAGCGGCGTCGGACTTCTCATCGACAACACTGGGAGTCCAGAGGCAGCGGAGCAAGGCCCTCGCACTGCACAGGGAAGAGGGCTTTCCACCTTGCACCGGGCAGCCCGTCGCCAGGATGGGATACAGATATATCGATATGTGCAAAACCAAAAGCTTCTGGGGAAGGAAGGAGTCCCCTGAAATGAGGGTGATAAAAGCCAAGAAAGACGCAGACATGTGGCCAGGAAACAGAGGGGCCAGCATGGATTTCTCGGGGCGTCTCAGCCAGAAGTTTCATGGAGGCCCCTGAGGGGAGGGCCCACTCACAGCCTGGAGTGCAGCCAGTGACAGAAGCACTGGGAGGGGCAGCGAGGGCGGGTGTGAGGGTGGGCCCTGTCCTGGTTGCAGCTGCTTGACAAACAGGGGGGCTGTTTGCATGCACACCCAAAGTCCCGACAGGAGGAAGAGATAGAGAAGGGATGGTGGGGTGAGCATGCCCCACTGGGGGGCGCTTTCTCCCTCTTCCTGTCTCTGGCAATGAAATAACTAAAGAACGTTTTTAAAGAATTGGAAAAGCACCCAGCAGCCTGCCTGCTCAAAAACTGGGTTGCCATTTCTCGGGGTTTGAGGGTGGGAATCGGTCGCATGTTGGGGTAAGCTGTGGGTGAGGTTGAGCCTTTCAAACTACTCAGTCAAAATGCAGCTTGCATAAATTACAGTGCCAAGTGGGCCCTGAAGGTGCCCAGGTGGTGCCCATCTGGGTAAACTGTGGAAGGAAAAAGCAGCTCGAGGGACGAGCAGAAGAGATGCCTGAGTCTAACCTGCTGTTTGGACAGCTCCTCTCCTCGGAGCCTGTGTTAGGAAACTACAAAGACCGCCTGCCCCCGCCCCCCCCCCCCCCCCCCCCCCCCCGCCATAGGCAGTTAACGGCCCGGCCGGGGTGCCGTGCGCATGTGTTGGCTGTCCTCTGTGAGAGAGCTGCTGCCAGGGAGAGTGAGGGGCCATGCTCACCTCATCCCCCTCGTGGGGCTGGTAGTCAAAACGCAGTGGGGGACAGAAGGCAGCTGCGTGCACCTCCAGCACCTTGGCCTTGTCCCCTGGAGGATCCAGGGCCTCCAGCGCCTCTTCCAGGCTGCCCAGGCCCTGCATCTGGGAGGCTTGGGTGCGACTCTCTGCAGCTGCGTAGCTCCGGAGCACCTGCCCCAGGGCCAAGTGGAACCCTGTGTCACAGCACTGGGAGGAAACGAGAAGACAGCTGGGGCGGCCCCGCCATGGCCTCTAAGCCCTGGGCACTCGCTGCCGCGGGCCCCCGGGACTCACGTCCATGAGGTCTAGGACGTCACGCAGGTAGTAGTTGTTGACGGCGGCGTTGACGCTGGCCAGGCTGAGCAGGTACTCGTTCCGCGCCTTCGTGCACTTCAGCTTGTGCTCCAAGAACTTGGCCTGACGCTGCCCAACACAAGCGAGTGCCCCAGGGCCTCCCACCCGCCTCTCATATGCCTGCACCCGGTCCCTGCAGGCCTCTCAGCCTCGCTCGGCCCTGGTGTCATGGGCGACCCAGCCGCCACCTCTAGTGCATGGGCGAGGGTCGGCCCCACTGCCCTCTGCATACCCAGCTCAAGCCCCAGCCTTCCTCACTGCCCTTCCTCAGAGGAGTGGCAGGGCACAGAACTCGATACCAGGCCATGAGAGGCACGTGTGCGCATGTCCACGGTGAAGGGGCGCAGTCACAGAGGGGAAGCACCACGGCTGCCCCAGGCAAGGACCGTGGTGAGACAGCTGGCCACAGCCTCTTGGGGTGCCGGAGGGGTGGAGACAGACCACTGAGGGCCATGAGACAGAAGCTGTCACTCTCAGGCCAGAACCTGTCACTCTCAGGCACCAGCCGGCATTCTAGGTACCACAGCCACAGGGACCTCCCCCAAACACACGTAACCCTGTCGGTCCCCCTAAGACATTCGATGATGCCCAACTCCCTCCCTCATGTGCTCCCCTAGTCTCAAGCCAGCTTGGCGCCTCCATCCTGGTATTTCTCAACCTCCCACTCTTTGTGCAGGGACCACCTCAAACGCCCTTTCTCCTTGTGTGTCACCAGTGTCTCCTCAGCCCTGAAGCCTCACTGGCTGGCTGGAAAGGACCCTGGGCTTAAAAGCACCAAAGCTCTCTGTGGCCCACAGGGGCCTGGAGGCACCGGCTTAGCGCGGGAGTATATGTGGGGCCCACCTTCTCCACCAGCCGCCCTCCCTTCTTGAGGGAGCTCTTGCGGAGGGGCCCTGCCTCTGCAGGGGTGGGGGCAGGTGTGGGGGCAGGCTGGGCACTGCGGCCTGCCCGCTTCTCCTCCTGCCGCTCGGCTTCCCGGAGCTTGGCCTCCGCAGTCAAGCTCTCTGCGTGGTAGGCGTGGTAGGTCTTCTTAGCCTGCAGTGGCCCAAGGCAAGACAACTGTGCTGAAGGCCGGCCCCGCAGCTGGCCCTGGCCTTGGCCCAGCTGGGACTCAGACCTGAGCGCCAGGCGGTCCCACGTGGGACCCACAGAGAGGGCGCACTGTCCCCAGCCCCCCAAACTCGTGAGCCTGCATGAGACAGCAGCGCCTGGCGGCGGGGGGCCCCAACCGCGGGGGGCG